TGTTTCTCTGTCAGCTGTAAATCTTGAAGCCTGCTTTTCCACCCAGCCAAAGTAACATCTTAGGCTCATGACAGTATTCACTCCTAGAAAGACATGTCATTCAATTTTCAATAGGGAAAAAAAAAAAAAAAAAAAAAAAAAAAAGAGAGAGAGAGAGAGAAGAAGAAGAAATTTACAGAACGCTATTGAAAATAAAAGATTGATTAATCTATTACATTCTACTGTTACATAAATTTTAGGTGCAAGCTTTGTAGGACAGGAACAATGAGACTTTATCTGGTTGGAAGTATTTACATGCCAACCAAAAAGAAAACTATTACACTTATTACTCTTTGCTTAAGAAAATAAAATTTGTCTGTTAACTTTAAAAGTTCTTTATGTAGCTCTACATTTAAGTACTCCACATGTGAGTATATTCTTCCTTCTTTCTTTCTTGTGCTTCTAGATTTGCCAAAGCTGTCACCAGGTAAATTGTTCTCAGCATTACAGTCAGTTGACTAAGCTCAGCATGGGGCAGGATGGGTTTTCTGCAGTAAGTCTGTGAGTTGTATTAGACTTTTGCTCTGAAAGTAATGGGAAAGCCCTACTGTTTTCCAGTGAGCCAGGATTTCATGTCACAGTTATTAACATTGATAAATGACAGATTCTTGGACAACTTACAACTTCAGAAAATCAGACTCAACTGAGTAGTGGAGAAGGTCAAATAATGTTTAAATAAAGGTGAACTAAAAGTTAACAACACTCAGAATAACTTTTGCAAGCACACGTACCCACAGAGCGATCTGATTATGTGGTACCTGACTTTTGGCAAGTTACATGATTCCATTTTAGCTTTATAGCTCATCGTATAACCATTCTGATTTTTTCAGCTGTAATATAATTTGAAATGTGGAATAAAATTACTTTTTTTTTTTTTTAAGACAGAAACAGGCAGAAATGTTATGTTCTAAGGCATCTCTATGAGGCTTTATTTCCTTTTCATTAAGCAATAGAACAAAACAGTTATCATGGAGTATATATTGTTTATATAGTAATACTCTGCCGCTTCTTTAAAGAGATCTAATGAAAGCTGAAAAATTGCTATGATTTAATTAAATTTTAAATATACCAAGAAGCTTTAATGAAAAGTTTTAAACATCTTAATTATGCTATCAAGATAACCTAACACAGAGAGAAATAGAAAACCTACCAGGCAGTAAGTAATCTGAATGGCTAAAATACATTTGAAATATTCAAGCATTATCTGATTTAATTGCTAAAAAGTAACTTGAGGAATAATAATCTTAAGATTGCCCTTATAAACATCTATTTGTAAATTTTCAGAAAAATAAGCACACAGCCAGAGAGCTAGGTACCTATGCATCCAGAAACTGGAGTCTAAGACTTAAAAGATTTGAGCATTTAGTAAATCCTCAGGCTTTTTATTTTTCCTCCTGTTAGTCTGTGTATCAGATCGTTTCTGGTCTTGCTTCTCCTCAGGTACTTTCCTGAAGGCCTTGTGTTTCCTTTTTCAGTATTTGGTCATCTGTCTTTCTGTCAGGGTTTCTCCAGCCACAATATATTTTCTCTTGGTTACTTTCTTTGGGGTAAAAATTGTTTATTTTTTATTCACAGTAATGAAACTTCAGAAGGATCAATGACATAATGGCTAGTTTTGTAATTAATACACTAGAATAGTGACAGGAAAAAATGGAAGAATGTGTGAAAAACATCAAATACTTCAATAAGGTTAAGTGATTGCAAAGTTTAATCTGCCAGAAGCAGATGGGTCATTGCTGTAGGTGCAGCTAATCCATCAGTGATGTGTCTAGAAACTCATATTTCTTGCTGACTTCTGCATCTAAGAATTCCCCCAATTACAAATGGACTGGTGATGCCCTGGAGCTCCTAATGTGCTGCTTTTGGGCAGGAAGGCATCAACAGCCCATGTCTGGGCAGGGCAGCCTGTGTCTCCCACACCTTCCACTCAGCGATGAGTCTTGCTGGTGGGTTGAGCTGGCATTTCTAGGTACTCTGAGGACATTTCTCCTGTTTTAAATGCAGTTGAAGTGCTTTGGCAAAGAAGTTTTGAAAAGGTTTGCCAGCCAAAAGTGATGTCAACCTACTACATTCCTTAACTTATGAAATCAGCATTTTCGTCTGCATTTACCCTGGAAGGTGGGGCAGAATTTGGAAATAAGATCTTCTATTCAAAGTTTGCTGTAACAGGAGATATAGCACATCTGCAAAGCTCTGTGCTTTACACACCCACCAGGTGCAAACAAGCACTTGTACGAGCACGTTTCAAATGTTTACCAATATTTGCCGGTTCGGTGCTCTTAACTCTGTGCCAATGCAAAACCACCCTTAATTCTGAAATTAAAAATGTTGGAGCATATTTAATGCTTTATTTTTCATTTGCATGCCATTTTTTTGAATGCAAAGTAGGAACAGAAAAACCCCTTTCAACATTTTTGCAGGTGTTCATATAACAGAATACTAGTAAGTTCACTCAACTCTTCTGCCAATGGCAAATTATTTTCACACATTTCTGTTTCTTCCTTTTTTAATGTTTATTTATTTATTTATTTGTTTTCCCTTTGGTCCAAAGGCACTCTGATTTCCAGGTGGTATTTTATGTAGTAGTCCATGTTTCTAATAAATAGCTAGATTTGTGGAACCTATTAAGGATGTAATCAGCTTGGTATTCGGATTACATTTCTATCCAGCTCCCATTATAATCAGGATAAAGATTCCCTCTGATTTCAATGAGAGTTGGATCAAACCAGGAGCACTTTTTATTTTAAAGCAGTGTTAAGTGCTGCTGTTCAATGACATTGTTTCCCAGACACCAGCAATTGTTCACTGACCCAGATGTGAACTTGTGTTTTTTCTGTCTCTGTTTATAGACATCCTTTCTCTGTCATGCTTATCTACCCTACTTACAGAGACCTATTTGACTTGCTGAGAAGTTACAGTGGTCAAAATTAGAAAGCCTGAAGAAAACTGTTTATAGCAGAGTCTGTCAAAAATACCATGAAATAGACACAAAAATAATATTTACATAGATCAGGGGCCCCTATTTTGCCATTCTTCCTTCTGTGCCGTTACTCAGCTGTAGGAAAGGAGATTAGTACTTGGAAGAGGAGCAAAAAAAAATAAAATAGCAGCTCACTTAGTAATCCCTAGACACTGGAATGGAAAGAAGCCATTCTTATAGCCGTATTTCCACCTGACAAGGCAAGGTGGTAAGTTTCACAAAATGCAGGGTCTTTAACCAAATGCCTGCCTATATTTGTGAGCAAGGCTCAATCCTGCAAGACTCAAAGTCCATTTCACCTAACAAAGGAATCCAAAGGTTTTGTTTGGTTGGTTTGGTTTTGTTTTATTATTGCTTGGTGGTAGTGTTTTTGTTTTGTTTTGTTTTGTTTTGGTTTGGTTTGGTTTGGTTTGGTTTGGTTGTTTGTTTGTTTGCCAGGCAGACAAACAAAGACTATGAAAACCAGAAAGAAAAAGCCAAAAAGAAGAAAGAGGTATATTCTTATACACAGTCCACTTCAGATGTAATGGTCATGAATATAATTAATGTTGACCTTTGTCAGCACAAAGGTCACAGAATTTCTGGAGACATGTGGGTTCTACATGAAATTGCTGTTATTCGTGTAAACATTGCTAATGTGTCACAGCAAAGCTGTGTGATGTTTCAAACTTTCAGTGTTAGTTGTGTTTGCAGCTGGGTGCTAGACCTGTAAAAAATATGATGTATACAGAGATCTTAAAGTAAAGACTTCAGTAAAATTACCTTGCATGTGCAAATGAGTGTAAGATTTCTCTTCTCTGTTACTCATGGCATGTATGCTCAAAATAGTTAGGGACAAATATCCTAAAGCTCTCCATTTTTTTTTAGTTCAGAGAAAACAACACTTTCCATTTCTTTTTTTAATGGTACAACTATTTTTAAATAATCTATGAGCTTTCTAACTAAATGAAAACTGTAAAATAAATAAATAAATAAGACAGAGCTCACTACCAAATAAGTTGTTTTCAGTCTAAGCTTGGCACAGGATGTACATTTTATAAATAATTAAATAAGAGACAATTTAAAAACAAACAAACAAACAAACACCTCACCAGTAACAAACGAAATGTTATCAACTTCAAGACCTGTCTTATTTTCAAAAGACTAGAAAAACTTACTATCATTGTGGTTCAAAGCAGAGATATGCCTTGCATTTTTGAGGTGTTTTGTGTTCAGTTGGGACTAACATTCTGTGATGCAAGATCTTCTATATCCTCCATCACTTTGTCTAGAATGACAGTGTGAATCAATCTGGGAAACAGCTTCACAAAATAAATGTGGGTGAACATTTAGAGCTTAGAGATTTTGTCAATTTTTAAACCAGACCAGTACACCTACCACTGTTATGCTTCTTGAAATGTATTGAGGAACATTTTTTGTTATTGTGTTCTATGATGATTCTATAAAACGACCAGATTTAACCAAAATGTATTTATTGAAGAGATAAATTTTAAAACGTGGCTGAGCAAACAATTAAAGTGGTGCATCTGGATATTAATCTTCAGTACAACAAGAACCTGAGTAGAGGTGTAGACAAAGATATGACACTCATACATCTGATCTGCCTTTACATTACAGCTTTTTTACAAATGTTAAATCACACTTGTATTAGTAGCTTATGTATGTGACCAACTTGCAAATATAAAAATTGCAAAATGTAAATATAAACCTGGTTATTGTCCTAGTGCTCTCACTGAGGCAGAAACCTGTGCATTAAGAAACTACAAGCTTGGAGGTAGATGAGAGCTTTTGTGTCCCACACGCATTCCATTTTCTGTATACTAGGATTAAAATATGTAAATATGAAGATAAAGGACTTCAAGAAAACATTTGAAGGGAAACACCCTTCATCCCTTGCCCTCCTCCTCCTTCTCCTCTCCCTCTTCCCCCCCCCCCCCCAAAAAAAAAAAAAAAAAAAAAAGTAATTTTTTTCCCCAAAGTACAGCAGAATTATGACTTTTCAACAACCGTGTTGGTGGATTCTTTGCTGAAGCACTCAATGCTTGATAAGTAGTTACTTCACCAGTTGGCTTGGTAATGGCTGTAGATTAATATCTGACTGTTTTGGCCTGTTTTAGTGCTGAATTGATTTTACTTTTTGTGATGCTTGAACAGCTCTACTGGCTGATCAGTACAGGAGTATCCAGCTCCCATTTCTGTACAAAATGTGGGGAGATAGACAACTTAGAAAGCTATAGTGCTCTATTTTCATGCTCAGTAAAGTCTACTGCAGAGTGAGCCCTCACAAATTCATATCACAACCATTACAGCTGCAATGATCTTTCCCTTTTTATATATAGTGTAAAGCATTTGAATACATTAGAGTTGCATTTCTCTTGTTCACTGGTATGGTATTCTGTTTGTTGAAACATCGGTCACTGACCACAGAAAGTACCTTTCCCTTCTGCTGGAAAATATCTAGATAATTTTACTGCAAAACATTCCCCTTGCCCATCAGATATGTATTAACACACTTGTAAGCAGCTACAGCATGAAATGCAAAGTTTGATATGACACAGAGCTGTCTGGAAGGTTTTTAGCCTGAAAATGTAATCATAGATTTCCATAGCAACTTTCCTGCACTAAAGCTCTACCATATATGAAAATATTGTCTTTAAAGAACAGGCAGGTATATATTATTTTTAGACTAGGACAACGATGAGAATGCTGGAGATGCAACATGGGCTCTTGGAAATTTTTCTGTGTAGGCAAGAATAAAATGTTACACGGTATTGCGCAACTGGACATAGGTTGTATTTTGTGCTCTGAAGAAAATTGATTGCAGTCTTTTGAGTACATTTACAATAACATGTGCTGGCAAAACCATTAATTTGATTGCCCTTACTGAATATTGTGCAAACAATCTGTGTTTGCAATGTCTGCGAACAACACATATCTCAGTAAATTACTGTGTTGTAAGTAATACCGTTAAAAGCAAATTTTAATGGTTATTTTTTAGCAGCTCTAAGGGAACATTGGCAGTCATATTGCTTCTTCACTTCATTGCTAGATGGTTTGAATGAAACACTCAGAGAGACTTTGCAGCTGTGGAGGACAGGCTATTGAATTTAAATGATCCAGCACAATCATTAGAATTCCTGAAAATGTCCAGAAGTCATTGCACACAGATATTTTCAGATTACCCACTGAATATAGGAGGATTGGCAATGAAGAAAGAGATGGATATGAAAAGCCTGCCAGACAGCCTTTCTCTGTGACAATAACTCGACCAATTCTGGAGTTGCTAACTGCTTTTTACTGCTATTTGGCAGTTACGGCTTCAAGAGAAATGAACGGCATGTACTAAGGAAGGCAAACCATTGTTGTATTCATGACCTTACAGCGAACATCCTTCATACTCAAAGACAACTGACTGGCATGCAGATTTGTTTCATAAACAAAAAGTAGTGTTTTCTCTCTAAACAATTCATTGTGAGCAATTTGTCATTGCAAACAGCTTCTGGCAGTTGACCAATTCCTTTCACAGAATCCTTCTTTAAACCAACTGGTCATTAAAATCTTTTTTTTTTTTTTTTTTTTTTTCTTTCCCAACAATGGTGCTGATTCATTCTTAATGAATAATTTGCTTAGATTACTACATTTGCTGGATGAGATGGTATAACACTTACGTGCCATAAATAAAATTGTTAACACTAGGTTGTCATTTCATTGTCTTTCTCCTCAACTAATTATTTCTGGATCATTTTTAATTTTTTATCCTTCATGGGCAACATCTGAAACCATACCACTTTTTAAGGCCAGAGGAAATTATTTGACTAAAGTTATTGATTCGACCTAACATATGCATGCATGTTCTAGGCCATTATTTTTCTTTCCTTGTGTAGGGGGGAAAAATAGGAAGAAAAATAAAAACAAACTAACAAAACAAACAAACAAACAAAGTCTACTATAGAGAAGAATAATTAAGATTTAAATCTACTGTAAATATAGAGAAACAAAATGCCAGAATCACAATAAATATAAGATAACATATGTTTGAAAACAGGTAAATAGAGATTAACAGTCTATTCAAATCATATTTGAGCAATATGACATTTATTAACTTCTAGCTGGAACATTAAACAAGATAAAAATATTCTTAAATATGTTAAAATGAATTTTGTATCACTTTCACTACTTTTTCTTTTTTTTTTTCTTTTTCAATCAACAGATTTTTTTTCTTTATTGATCTAAAATGTTATTAATAGCTAATATGTATGTTGAGTCAAATCAATTTACATTGGCTATGTGTGTCATCTACCTCTGAGAAAGAGTGTTAAGTTGAAGGCATTGAATTGAAAAAAATAAATAATGAAATTCAACTCATATTGTCATAGGGATCGATTTCTGTTCAGCTTCTTTTATCCTTTATGATCTGGAAGAAGCCATTTCTGCAGGCTGGGACTCCATTTTGTCATCTGAAAAATGAAGACACTTATCTTTCTGGTCTCCCAGGTGCTGTCTGATGCTAACCTCATTGGTGTCTATGAAGACTGCAGGTAATTTCGTGATGAGAGCAACAGAAAGGTCTGTAAATAAGATAAAATATAATATGTGAAGGAGAAATTGATTTTAACCAGAGCTGATAATATTTCTTGTCAATACTGACATATTAGTTTCATTTTCCATTGTTTCTAGGTGTTTTATTTCAACTAGAAAAGCATAGCCTCTCAAACAGTGTTTAAGTAGTATTATTTATCTATCTATGTCTAGGTTCCAGTGTCTATGCAGAGGGCAAGAAAAGTTTGCCAATTTTCAAAATACTATTATTTGAACCAAAAATGGCCTATATTTATAAGGGACACCCATAGTTTTATTTTGGAGTAGTGTTGACATGGTTTCTCCTACCATTCTTGTTCAATGGGAATTAGACCGATTATGGATGCTGCAGGCTCCCTGACTGGGTCCCTGACAAGATGGGTCTCATTCTGTTTCAGTCTTTTGGCTGAAACAAGAGCACAAACTAGCAGATGACAGTAGAGAGGGTGGATGAATTGGTTAAGGAGTTAAAAAGGACAGCAAACAGCACATTATTTTGCTAATGGGTGACCCCATTGTTCCCATATGACCTCGTCCAGCTTTTGATGTCTCAAAATTTCACCTTTGTGAGTGAGTGTGAACAAGTACTTCACAAAACCTACTTTCCTTCAGTGTTAGGTGATGACAGCTCATGTTGTTTGAAAATCCATTTATTAATGAGGATGAGTCTTACATGTCATAAGCAGTTCAAACAACAGCTAAAACTAAGATCAGTAACCTCATAAATAAATAATTATATGAACTGATCAACTCAGAGACTGCATGCAATACAGATCAGTTCACTTCGGCTTGGCCCAGTAGCTAGGCTGCCCTTTCCTAACATCCACGGACCATATATAATAATGCATAATATACCCCACTGTGTCCTGAAGTAAATCACAAGATGCAGCACACACATCCACATATATATATAATCTGTTGAACGTGGGGATGTGATACCATATTCCTGCCACAAAATACGCTCCTCTTCCACTCCACAGGACTTACAATTGTGCTAATACTTTTGTCTAGCAACTGCTCTCACCAGTACAAGTAAAATTTCAATGTCCTAGATCACTTCCTGGTATTCCAAAAGTAAATGGAATCAGTTTGGAAGCAACATCCACCTACCAGTGCTAGACAGAGGAATGATACTGACTGAGCTGTTTTCTCAATACTAGTACTTAAATTGACATACGTACAGGACCTGGCTGGGAGGGAGTTAACTTTATTCATAGCAGCATCTATGGTGCTGCATTTTGGATTTGTGACCAAAACAGTGCTGACAGCATAGCCAAGTTTAGGCTATTGCCAAGCGGTGCCTGCACATTCTCAAGGATTGCTCTGCCTCACCAGCAAATAGATGGGCAAGAGGCTGGGAGGAGACACAGCTCAGGAGACATAGCTGACCCCAGATGACTGAAGGGACATTACTGACCATGTAAAACCATGCTCAGCTATGAAATCCAGAGTAGGAGGGGTATCTCAAAGTAACCATTCCTCAGAGGGTGGCTGGGCATCAGTCTGCTTGTGGGAGATTGTGAGTGATTGCCTTTGCTTTGCTTTATGTTTTGTTTTGTTTGTTTGTTTTTCTTTTCTTTCTTTTGATTAATCAAGTGTCTTTATGTTGATCCTTGAGTTCTTCACACCTTTGCCCTTGTGACTCTCTCCTATCTAGCTGTGAAGGAAGTAAGTGATAAATGGTGTGTGAGCTAACCAAACAGCAAGGGTCAGCTCAGAAATATGCAGCAGCCAAGTGTACAAGGTCAGTGAAACGAGAGAGGACAATTCACACTGTCACGTACAAACCATAGTTGTGCAAAAGACCACAAGTGTGGTCCTTTCACAAGTGTGCAAAAACATGGCTGTTCCAGATTCACCCATAAGAAGTGTTGTGCAGATGTTATTTACTGTCTATCTCTATGAAATTACACTGTGAATTACTCAATTGCTTAGGAAGATCTCTTGTTTGCCATTCAATTAATCTTGTTATTCTGGGAACATTAAACATTCTTGGATCAGACCAGGAGGAGTTTGATGTCTTATGTGTCATCAGTTATACTTTCCTTATACCCTTTTCACTTATTAATGGAGCAGTGGCTTGAAAATATTATGATTTTTTCCTCTTTTATTCCAGAATAAAGAATTCCAGTCTTCCAGAACTTCACTGTACTGATAGCAGGCTTTTTAAGTCCATCATGAACATATTTGTGAACAGCATATGGTCACAAATAGCCCTGTGCATTTGCTTGCATGCCCTTTAGAAAGAAAGTTTATCTTATCTGCAATCAGTCATCCAGAATATATAGTATTCCCACCATGGGACCAAATCCAGCTTGGGTGCAGCTGCAGTATTCATTCCTAGAACTGAAATCACCTAGCAAGGGATGTGGCCACCAGGAGCAGATGTCATTAAACATGTACTCACTGAGTGAGGTCAGATCAGTGAATTGACAGCATCACCCTGCTGGATCTGAACTCCTGCTTTTGTGTATCTTTCATGGAATATTTTCTAGGTTTGTGGAGGATTTTTGTAAAAACTTGGTCAGACTGCCAGTGAGTCTGTTCAGAATAGGATGGTAGAGACAGCAGGAGCACAGCCAAGGTGGGCCATAAAACACCTGCTTCATGCTGCTCTAAATCTTCTTCTGCATGGGTCTGCTGAGGTACCCTGGCACTCTACTCAACCATAGTTCATCATGGCAAATATTAATAATTATCAATCTTGCATAGTTTGAAGAAGCAGTGATCTTCCCTTGTGGAGAAACCCATATATCTCACTGGCTGTCCATTCCTTTGTCTGTGTTTTATAACAACAGAAGTAAACTTTATGGCTTTGCTTATTTACTTCTAAAGAAACAATTCTATGCATGAAGGCTAAAGTGTCTGAAATAATTTAGGTTAATGTAATTTTGGGGGTTTTCTTTTATTAAAAGTGAACATCGGTCAACAATACCCTGGAAGGCTAGTGGGTGGAGATAAGGTTAAGCACAATATTAATATAGCACATATTTGCTCTTGTTGCCTCTTTTTTTTTTAAACTCTTAATATGACGTGGGCCAAAGTACCTGAAAATTATTGCTGTCAAATTGTATTGTCAAATGCTATAAGAGTAATGACCAAGATAATAGATAATATAGAAAAATATTAAAAATTAGTCTTTCATCTCCTAGATGCTCACTGGTAAATTATTCCATGTCCATAGCAGATGTGCATAAAGGGTTGACTACTTAAGACAAGCAAATAGGCACCCATTTAATGTCCTGACATTTAGGCAATAGGCTTTTAAATCTGAGTTACCATGGTGTTCAGATCTGAAGAGCTCTTACGGTATTTCAGCTGGCCAAAACTCTCCTTTTGTCCTTCTCTGTCTGTTCAGGACATTTGTCTGAGAGGTCAGGCTTTCTCTGTGTGCATGATGAGTGCCTCGTTATGTCTGCCTTCATAGGATTTGTTTATTTCTTTGTTTGTTGTCTGCCTGTCTGTCTGTCTATCTATCCATGAGGTAGTCATCGGCCATCTACCTCACAGGTCTGGTGTGTACTATTATGCTAGGCTGGCTGTGAATACCCTCGAAATTATATGTGTATTCTTTCCTGCTTGCAGGCTTTGTGCATGATCTCCCACATCACTTGCTGCAGTCCTGTTTGTCTCAGTCCCATTTCTGTCTCCTGGTTTGGGCTGTAGCTACATTTGCTTTGGAACCATATTTAACTGTCTTGCAACACCACATAGTTTGTAAACTATAGGTTGGTCACCTCTGCCATCCTTTGTGACATGACAGATACATTATTATTTTCATCTGCTCTGTAGGATATGGATCCCTGACTTGGCTGAAAATGTAAATTAAATAAAGCTAGTATTATTGCATGTACCTTTCATTTTACAGACTTGATCCTTGATATATCAGTGTACCTGTATTACAGGTACTATATTTTTCCTTATGTCCATAATCCTTTCTAGCAAATCCACAAGATATCTGTAATAGGACTGCCAATCAAAACTGAGCAAGAAGAAAACACTGTCTCAAAGTACAAGGTGGCCCTGGCACAATTGCAGCAGTGCTAATTCTCAGACCAAATGACACCTGCAAAGCTGCCAAAACAGCTGGCAACAGGGCTCACCAGGAAGTCAGCTGCCATCACTAATAACATGTTATCTACAGTCTGATAGTGAGGTCCTGAGAAAAATAGAAGAGCTACAAATTCACAGATAAAGTAGCACTAAGGTTTGAAGGGTCCTGTTTAAATTTCAGGTGCAAACATAATCTTTACATAATTTAGAACGTGTGTGTAAAATTATATCTTTATACTTAACAGGTCTCAAATTCATTTTCACTAAAGTACATAAAATCTGCTTCATGACCTAACCATTAGAGAGCATTTTGATCACAGAACAGTCACACAGAAATTTCACCTGAATGAATGCATTCAAAGACATACATAGCATCAATACATTTGTCCTACCTTTTCATTATGATATGCTCCTAAAATTAAATAAATATGAAGTGTGGACATGGATACAGATGCAAAAATGCTTGTCACAGATATGTGATTGCATGCACACATACGCATCATTTGTGTGCATATATAGATATGTATGTTCTTTCTGTTATCCAGTTAGGTAACCTGTATGTAGCAGAAGACCCTCAGAAAGGAACTACAAGGATCAGTTCTCTGAAAGAGTATATGTAGTATTCAATATTCATTATTTCTTCATTAAGTCAGTAATCACTTCTTCATTTTTTTCTTTAGAGTAGGAACTGCATGAGTTTGTATAAGATATAGAGCTTTCAGTCTTACCTACTTTTTCTGCTAATGTCATTTCAAGGACAGAAAATGTGCTCTTTTATTCAGATTTATGCAATGATCATTGAAGCTAATGTTTTACCTGGAAATTAAGGAGAGCAGAAAACACGTTTGAGGACAAATGCTTTCAGTATACAATACATTTAAAACTTATATCCAAGTACAGTGAACTAGCACTTCACAAGCAATTAGTAATAAATGCCAATTATTGTACGGTCTGTATCATGTCTCTGAATGTTTTGAATCTCCTAACTTCCTTTAGTGAGATCAGTCTTTGGGGCTAATCTCTCCCACATGAGCAATACCAGAAGATTGTCTTCACTACAGAGCAAAAGAGAAATTGTTTAAGTAAAGGCAGAGACTGCATAAATCATAAACCACTTTCTCAGACAAAGGCCATTAAGTAAGTCTGTGTACAAATTTGACACTTTGTTTCCTTGCCTTTGACAGCCCTGTGGAAAGGTTTAAATGTACAAGATCTGACTAAACCTTTCAAAAACTCATCACTGAATATTTGTTAACCTTGTACTCTGATAGCTGTAGAACAAAGATAATACTCTTCAAATGGAGATAAATTACAGTCTTTCAAAAGATTATCACCAGTCTTAATCACATTTGCTCCTACAGCTGAACAGTCAGTGACCTTGTTACTCACACAACAAACGTACCTGCAGCTTCACATCCACGCAGGTACATTAGTCTAACCAGCCTGCTGAGAACAGCCAGATTTCTACAGACAAGCTAGGGAATTCAGTTGGCTGGCTGATAACCTTTTCAAGATTGAAATCATCTTTGTTGGCAGCATGGAAAGTGGGATCAGGTGCAACCTCAGCAAATTGGCCAATGACACCAAGCTGAGTGCAGTCGACACACTGGAGGGAAGGGATGTTATCCAGAGGGACTTGGTGAAGTGGGACCATGTGAGCATCATGAAGTTCAACAAGGCCAAGCAGGATGAGGGAGATGATATCCTCCCTGTACTCTGCTCTTGTGATACCCCAGCTGGAGCACTGCATTAAGTTCTGGGGCCCCCGGCGTAAGAAAGATATGGACGTATCAGAACAAGTCCAGAGGAGGGCCACAAAGATGACCAGAGGGTTGGAGCACCTCCACTTTGAAGACAGACTGAAGGAATTGGGGTTGTTCATCCTGGAGAAGAGAAATATCTGAGGAGACCTTATAGTGGCCTTCCAGTACCTAAAGAAGGCCTACAGGAAAACCGGGGAATGGCGTCTGTGTCAGGGGATGTGGTGATAGGACAAGGGGTAATGGCTTTAAACTAAAAGATGGTAGATATGGATTAGATATTAGGAAGAAATTATTTACTCTGAAGGTGGTGAAGCCCTGGCACAGGTTGCCCAGAGAAGCTGTGGATGCCCCATCCCTGGAGGTGCTCAAGGCCAGGCTGGATGGGGCTTTGGGTAACCTGGTCTAGCGGGAGGTGTCCCTGCCCATGGCACAGGAGGATGGGACTGGATGGTCTAGAAGGTCCCTTCCAACCCAAATCATTCTATGATTCCATGATTCTATGAAATCCTACAATTTGTGGAACTTGGCAAATTTCCAGTGGAGCTGATATGTGTTGATCAGCAGTTCAAAAGACATCCTGAGTCCTCAGTAGGTGTAGTCCAGGGTGACACCGGAAGTTTCCGGGATGTTATTCTTCCAACCACGAGGCTGCCAGGCAGCTAGCTGGCCTTCTCTTCAGCAGAAATAGAGCTCTGAACAAACACTGGATATTCCCTTGTGTCTATGTACATTTTCAAAGGCAGCTTCTTCTTTTTATTTTTATTTTTTTTTCATTTTCTTTCATTTCAGCCAAGAGTGCTCCTACACCTTATTTGACATTAACATTTCAGCACCCACATTTCATATTAAAACATGTTGGCTTGGCTGGAACTGTGCTGCAGGGAGTTGATGTGCAAGCATTTCTTTGTTCTGGCTCTAGTTTCTTGCAGAGGTGTTGGGGTGGAGATTAGCCTGTTATTAATTATCTCCTAATGGCATTAAAACCCACGCTTTATGGATTTGGGGACTTCCCGTGCCAGCCCAAGTTTAGCAGAATCAGATTTAACATCACAGGTTTAATACGCAATTTTTGCAGAGGGAAAGCCTTTATTTGCTTAATTTATTTATTTTCTGCCTCTTTCTTTACCCCATTAATAACATGACCTTTATTGGTTGGAATTGTCACCTCTTGATGTTGCACAGTGGCACAGCATAGTAAGACATGAAGCCGGGTTTAAGGAATGGGTCCTTCTTCTGTGAAGCAGCCTGTGAACTTGTGGGCAGAGGTGTTTGAGCACTGTGCAAAGTCAGTCTAAGGTACAGTGGCTGGCATTGCAGCAGATCTATGTCTTGTAGCTATGAGATTTTCTCTACTCTTTCATCTTCTGACTTTTAGTTTAATAGTTATTGGGTTTGATGACTCTTTTATTCCTATTTTGGGGGGGGGAAATAATAATAATAATAATAATAAATAATAATAATAATAATAATAATAATAAAAAAAAAAAGCCATCCATTGATCCATTGTGAGTGTTGATGAGTGCTCTGTTGCCTCAATGTGAGCAGAGGTCCCCCAGCACCACACAGAATCAAGCCATTAGCAACAACATGCTTAGAAGTGGATAAAAAATAAATAAAAATAAAAACATCTTTACAACATTTTTCTCAAAACTGCAGTCAGGGAAATAGTAACACTTTACTCTCACCATGGAATCTGGAAAAAGTTTCAAAGCCAATAATAATAAATAACTGCTGTCACATACCCTGAAGACAAATCTTTGTAGGAAACTGCCAAATGATATTTTATGTTTGATGTTCCTCTGCCTTCTTTCATGTGCAATCAGTCTCCCCATTCTCTTGGCTTCTCCTGTTTTAGTGGCTGCTGAAAAACTCCTGCAACTCTTCCTTATACAATTCTACAGCAGGCTTCAGATACAAGAAATAAAAAATCTTTTGCAGCTTTTCATTCATTTACTTACCCCAACACTGTGTGAGTTGATTATCCCAGGAAATGGTTAATGGTTCTAAGTGTTTTCACATACTATAGCAAAACCCAGGATTTGACTCTTGCTTTTGTAAGTGAGCTCATGTGATTTTATTTTTTTAGGGGAGAGGAAAGAGACCATTTTAATCACATGGCTGTGAACTGAGTTTTGAGCTTCATTTTCTAACAAAAGAGCACAAGCCTTCCTTCACAAAAGCAACAGTAAAATCTTAAATATAGGTTTTCTTTTTTTTTCTTTTTGCTTTTGACTATGACAATTATTTTGCATAGCCTCAAAGTAATGTTTACAAAGCACAAACATGACAAAACAATCTTCCAGTCTTGATTTATTTTTATTTTTATTTCATTTTTATTTTTTGTTTTTATTTTTATTTTATTTTTATTTATTTTATTTGATTTTTATTTATTACTTTTTTATTTTTTTTTCGCTGTGCCATAGGGTCAGCTGAACTCTGCTTTATGGAGACATAGTTGTGAGTTGTCTCTGCATCCCCCTCTGCTCAGTCTGTAAAACAACTTGGGGTCTTTGGCAGGACTGCTGTACTTAACAGAGGTCACAGCTGCTTGGTTTCTGCCAGACAGTAATGACAAGCAAACCTCACCAAGCTCTCTGGGCCCAGGGATTAGGGTACACTGACTGGCACACAGGCTGTCACAAAGGCTTTCTGAGTGAGATGGAGTCACAACCCTCGTTCAACATCCTTCCAGAGCCCTCGGCCATATTCTCCAGAACAGGAGCCACACACCTGCCAAACTCTGCATCACAAACCTCAGTGGAGATAAAGACCCAAGATCTCCATGGTTATACTCTGTTTTACCCAACCTCGCAGGCAAGCATTGATGCACTTCACGAGCATTGCAAAACCATCTTAACATTGAGCTCTTCTAGCTCATTCTTTTTGTGGGGTTGGACTCACAGATGTAGGCTGGTGAGTCAGGTTAACACTCACACATGCATGTGCAAACAGGAACTGGCAGACCAGCAAGTTAGGTTTACAAATGCAGATTTTACATGTATCTGCAGGTGTGTACATGCATTTGGCATGGATCCATATCAGCTGTTCTGCCTCTTCCTTCAATTTCACACACAAAAGTTTTGCGGAATTAACACAATTGTTTTACAAAATAAAACAGCTGAGCTTTTCTGGTTTTTAATTAAAACACTCAGCAGAAGCCATGGAGAACCTTTTTGGATAGAGAACCTAAATTAACAAGGAATTGCAAGGGAACATTTTTTTTTTCTTTGCAGAGATCACCTTACAAATGTCATCAGAATACATCTGTACATCATGGCTGCATGCTACTAAATACTATCAGAAAGCTATCACAGGGATCCAAATGAAATTGGGAAATCTTCTTATATAGTGCTGGAGTTTTTATTACATGGCATGTTTATTGCTTGTAACACCTGAGCATCTGCAGATTTCCAGCCAATTCTTTCTCTAAATCAGTAATAAAAACTGTCCTACTGCTCTGCATTCCTGTATAAGAAATCCCTCAAAATGATGGAAAGGTGGTTATTAGAGGTGCCCTTGATATCTCTTGCTCTTTGCCTTCAATTCATTGTCCCTTTTTTGTTTTGTATGAAAAACTTCCCATCACAAAAGATGTTTGGCATCTGGTCACATACATAAAGAGGTGAGATTGGGTGCTCTGCCACTGCCTGTAGTCACAGGAAACCAGGCAATGTCCCAAATTTTATGTTCCTGCTGCTTTTTATACAAGAATCTCAATCATCAAACTCAATCTGAGCACTCTGAGTATTTAAAACAGTCAGAAATACACTGGATGTATAAGTAGTACATGTGTTCAGTTAAAAAGATAATGTTTGCAGGTGGGAAATTATGCAACTATCTGGAGACAACTGCATGTACTGATTCACTCCCAGCTACAGCAACTGAGGAACAGATTAGGCAAGTTACTGCGTGCAAGATTTTTCAACAGGACTGCACATTTGACCTTTCAAATTCAAGCATCAATGATCACCATTTCTGTTTATTATACAACTCTGGCAGTGTAACTGTTTTTACTACTACTCTTTGTTTTTTATTATTACTCTGTGGTTAACCCCAGGACTCTAGAGGAACTGTTGCTTGCTGTATCACACATGTTAATTTTGCCTATCAAGCACATTTTTCCTTTTGCATGACTCAGAAAATAAGGCACAGTGAATCTGTTGCAAGTAGCCACAGTTATGAAAGAGCTTGTGGCTCCACAGAGTTGTTTGTTCACAGGACAGACGAGACAAAAATGGATTGCAGTGCTTTTTTTTTCGGTATGTCTTCAGAAGTATTCTTGAACCCAGACTGTAATCTTTCTCATGAAGAGTGCTTTGTTTTCTTGGTGCAGTGGTTGGTTTTGGGATTCTTTCTTTGCACCTCTCTCCGTTTGTTCTTCTCTGTTCCCTACCATGTTTCTCCAACTATCTGTGTAGAAAACATCACATCTTCTTGTTTTCCCTATTGATCCTTTCACGCCAGGACATCTGGACAATGGGTCATTTTTGTTTAGCATTCACATGATTGGATTAATAATGGGACTTGTGAAAAGCTATGTAGAATTCCTATAGACAGGCACCTGAACTAGGCCAATATTTATTACAGATGTCTGTTGCCGTAAGCTATTTTAGGCCTTTCATGGTCCTTCCAAAAAACTGCATAGCAAAACATAATTCTTTTATTAAATTTGTGGTATTTTTCCCACAAAATTCTTTTTGAAGATTTCACCCACAACGCATCAAAA